ATATTTTGAATCTCACTATGTCTGTTTTCTGTTTGCTCTCAGATCCTGTGCAGGCCCTTGCTGGCGATCGCCCACTAATGGCATCAAGCTGCGGTGCCAGGGGGTCGCTTGGGAATTTTTCTTTACTAGAGCGTCTAAAGAAAGATCCAAACGACGCCAATGCCACAAAACTAACGTTTGTAAAGGTTTTTCGCCTGAGTCTGCCTGTTAAGTTCGTAAGAATAATTTGTGTTGAACACACACACACACTACACGGTCCGGCATATTCTCGATGTCCACCGCCAGGGCTGGGGGTTCCAATACCTTGTGGACTGGGATGGCTATGGCCCTGAGGAATGGTCGTGGATCACTCATTTCTTTTTCCTGGACCCTCAGATGGTCTGTGATTTCCAACGGTCCCACCCTGACAAGCTCTGGCAGGTCACCGTGAGGCTCCCTTGCAGGGGTGGGGGGGTCGGGGGTCCAGTCAGGTTTGCTCTATGCCTCCGGCCTCTCCTTTTTGGCTTTCTCACTCCCTCTCTCCTCTATCAGGTTCTCTATCCCGAGTGTGGCACACAGCTGAGCCGAATTACACAGCTGAGGTGAGTTGTGTAATTACCATCCTCCTACTTAAGACGCTCCTCCGGTGCCAGTACGTTATGGACTGCTGTCCGACACTTTGGCTGTCCACTGACCGACGACGCCTAATATCTGTAGAAACTTCAAAGCTCAGATCCAGACACTTGCCTCCTTCCAAGCTTCCCCAGCCATGCTCTCCTCCTAAGACTGGTCCACACTCACCCACAACATTCAACTCCACGATGCTCCAGCGGCTCTCTCCTTCCCCATAGCATGAATTTCTAATGTTACGATCTCCAGCCACTCTCAGCACGCCCAGACACATCTGACTCGCTCCTCTGTTCTCTCCCATGAATCAGCTCCGTCCTCTGCTCAAGCAAGCCTTGCAGCTGCTCTATCATTTAGCCAAAACATGAGGAAAAGTCAAGGTGCGTGACTGTTGTTTTCGTGGTGTGTATCTAAACAATGGGACATAACCTTACACTTTAAGACAAATATTAAGACTAGCATTACAGTTGACACTAACAGCAGTTTTCCTGTAACCTTGACGTGCCTGCAATTTTACTGCAGGCTAATAGTTACATCAAACTAGTCACCCTGTCTGCACTAAACATCTTCTAATACAACAGATCTCTAATCCATATCTATCTAACTAAGAAATAACCTAACACTTGCCAGTTTCACTCACCCCCTGTCTTTCCTCTCTGCTGCCATAGACGTCTGCCTGATATCTTTGCCACTCACCATCTTTCCCTGGACTCCCTGGTCAGTGGCCTCCTCAGAGCACTCATCGTTAACTCATCCCGGACCCAGACACTCCACTGGATCCCTTCATCAGAGACTATCACTCTTCACTGTCGTTTCCTGTTAATAAAACTTTTGCCAGAACTGACTGCCTGCCATCTGACTCCTGCCTGCTAGCTCACCTCATTCCAGTGAGTGAGCAACTATAACAGTATGTCAGGTGACATGGAGAAGACTTTGTAGCTGTCAGAAACTTTCAGCTACCTTAATCACAGTTGTACATATACCACTACATGCGCATGCTAACATCGCCCTGGAGGAGCAGCACAGCACCATTACCGACCAGCTGAATACACACTCGGAGGGAGCTGTGATAGTAGCAGGAGACTTTAACCACACAGAATTGAAGATGATGCCACTCAAACTCCACAAGAATATTAATTTCCCGACCAGAGACAAAAATATTCTGGATCAAGGTTACACCAATATCTCAGGAACCTATAATGCTGCACTATCCCCAATCCTTGGTCTGTCAGATCACATTTCACTGGTCTTGACCCCATCTTATAGACCTCTAATCTGCAGGACAAGAGCGTTTCTTAAAACTGTCAAAGTGTGGGGCGAGGAAGCTACCCCACTTTGCAGGACTGTTTTGAAAGCATACACTGGGAAGTGTTTGCACATGGAGCAGATTTAGAGGAATACATCTTAGATTAGATTAGATTCAACTTTATTGTCATTACCCATGTACAAGTAAAAGGCAACATCTAACCAGAAGTGCAATAATAGCAGTGCAGAGTGCTCAGTATCATCAGTATGAACATTCAGTACAAATTTACAGTTGATATTTACAGTAAGTTATATAAGATAATATACAATTAGTTAGTCATCCTGGCCTGCATTCACTTCTGCACTGAGACAGTATGAACCACCAAAACCATCAAGGTGTTTTTGAACCAGAAGCTATGGCTGGGCAGTAATCAGTAATGTGCGGTCCCTTCTCAAGGCTTGGGATACTACCTACCGGACAGGGGACAAACTGGCTTATAGTAAGGCCAGGAGAGGGGCATCAAAGAGGCAAAACACAGGTACAAGCAGCACACTGAGGACCACTTTACACACAGTAACAACCCTCAGAGCACATAGAGAGGTATTAAAGCCATAATGTGAAACCATATGTGAGACACTCATCAAACAAAAAAGACAAGCTATCATTATTGTGCACTCATAGCCTTGATAATGATGGATGATGAGGGAGAGAGGCCTACTTCCACCATCTAGACATTCTGTCACTGTTTTGAATGTGTCTCAGTCAGAGATACAAAGAAAATGGTTGTTCATTGAAATCTCTGTGTGGGCAGCAAAATGCTTTCAACCCTGAAAAGAACTATGTGTAATATATTATAGCATCTGGTGTGGCAACACAGTAATATGAAACTTGTCAAAAAAAAAAAACTGTCACTGACAGGGAGGCCTCTACTGCCAGTGATGAATGCAGACCAAACAACAGAGAAAAATAATGTATGGGGGGTACTGGACTGATAGTGGCACAACATGTTTTGTAAGAACGAGATGTGTCACCTGGTGCAGTTGTCAGGTTTGCCCGGCTGCACCTTCCTCTCTTCCTTTTCTCACTCTGGTTTTGCTCCCCTGATTACCCTATCGGACACACCTGCCCCACTTCCCTTGATTATCACCAGCTGCACCTGATTAGTTTTCTCCCTATTTATACCCTGCTCACCATTCACGGTCTTGCCAGTTCAGTCCCTATTGTTGGGCCCCCTATGCTTGTTGTTTTCTTTACAGTATTCCTAATTCATGTCTTTGCTACCCATACGTTTTACCTCTTGCTCCGGCTGTGCTCTCTTTTTTTTTTTTCTCGTCGGACCTCTCTTCTGGACCCTGGATCCATTCTGCTCTACGAGTCTCCACCATACAGGTGGAGTCTCCATTAACAATCTATGCATGCTCCCGTCTCCTCAGCCATCATCGCTTCAACCACAACCAGTTCAGGAGTGACCCCAGCGTCTGCAGCCCGGTCTGTAACCATCCATTTCACCATTGACTGTTTTTCTCTGCCACTGATCGACACCTGGTTACTCCATACCATTCAGCACCTATCTGTCTATTGCATTCTAAATTACACTGTACCCAGCACTGCTGGCACCGAAGTCAGCTATCTGGGTCCATCTTTATTGCTCGTTCCTTTCCGTGTACGAGCGACCATAAGAGTAGTGGTATGGCTCGCTGCTGTGTTTTGCATAGTTTCTGGACAACAGTGGAGGTCTATGGCACAGACAAATAAGCTGAACCAAGTTTATTGCCGATTTTTGTCTCTGGATGTTGCGTAAATGCCGTGTGTGTGTGTATGTGTGTGTGTGTGTGTGTGTATGTATATATATATATATA